TTTTGTTGTTTCTATTACTCATCACGTGCACCCGAAAATAGAAAGTTAAGTGACCTCGTACTGCTTTGTATGCTATATATGCTAACTACTACCAAATTGAACATATTTGCTAAGTTGATAATTTATTTACACAATTGCTATACAACAACCGGTTATTTCTCCCATCCCCAACAACCGGTTTTTGCTCCAACTGCTTCTCTGCTCTCCGCTCCCTCTGCTGTTGCCCCCAGGCTGCCACCGCCATCCCGGCGCGGGCGCGTGGGGGTGCGGATGTCCTCGGCGCTGTGGCGGGCGTCCCCGGTTGCCGCCGCCGCCGTGACGGCGCGGGCGCTAGGGCTGGATATCAATATGTCTCGGCTCGTTATGGCTCGTTATACAAACGAGCCAGAAGACTAGCTCGGCTCGGCTCATTAACGAGCTCGAGCTAGCTCGTTTGGCTCACGGGCCAAAGTACAAAAACATAGTACATAAAAGATTATAACCGCAAGTTAGCAACAAACACAACATATACATATTTAAAATGGAATAAACAAAATACATATGAATTTTAGACTCATCTCACGTGAGCAAGATGTCGTGGGTAGGCTGGTGGGGTAGCTCTAGGCTCTAGCCATAGGATACCCGTGAAAAGCACTTGAGTCGGTTTTGATCTTGGTATGTTATGATATGCTCCCTCTGTCCTAATGTATTTTTATTCGTTCTATCTAAGTTAACCTATATTAAGTTTGACTATATTTATAAAAAATAATATTTTAATATTATAGAAGCTTTATTAGAAATATTATTGAATGTTTTTTATAGCTTCCTTATCTTTTTGATGTGGTAGAAGTTAATATATTTTTCATATTCTTAGATAAAATATGAGGCGGGTTAATTTATGACTCTTTTTTTTTGTGGGGGGGGGGGGTTGACCGCGTCGTGCCGTCCATGGCGCCAACCCCATCCAACTGTTGTCTCCTACCGCTCTGGCGGACGACGCCTCCACCGCTCTGTCCTGTCGCCGTCTCGACCGCCACCACGACGGCGGTATCGCGATCGCCGCCCCAAAGTCCCAAATGCCGGTGAGTGGATCCCCCAACCCCAGAGCCCAAAGCCCCAAACCCAGAAAACCCAGGCTCTTCTTCTTCCTTCATCGGCTACATGCGGATGGTTTATGCGAGTGCGCGAACGCGTGCCACCCATGACGCGTTTGAGTTTGTGCAAATAAATTGTGATGCTACGTCAGAAATATCCTTCAGCTGCAAATCCACGTACGTCCTCTATTTTTGTCTCAATATGGTCCAAATTTTGGAAGTTCGACTACATACAGCTAGCTTATGTTCAACAGTCACTAGCAAAAAGAACTTCAACAATCAGTGGAGGAAGTATATCCTTATATATATCTGTAAAGCAGCGAAGAAAGGCTAGAGGTTTAAAGTACTTTACTTTGCCTGAGACTCTGGGCTAACAAAAGCGTGAGCTACGTTGTGCACAGCTTCTACAAACAAGCGTGATGAGAAGCTAGAGTGCCGAAACATCTTTTCTATCGGCGGCCGGCAGCAGCTGGACTGGACTGGAACAGGTGTTGGCTTCTCTCACGGGAGCTGCATGCCGCCGTGGACCGTCCCCGCCCGATGACCCGCCACCTCAGTGTTGAGAAGCGTCAAGTCCATCACGAGACTACGAGAGGACATGCGGCGTCGCACGGCGATATCTTGGCCTTTTTTAAAGTGCCGATCGATCAATAATGTGTCGCACCCCAGCTGTCTAAAGAGAAAGGATACGAGCTTGTGTCCAAGCGTACGTGGCATCATATCGTGTGACAGATTATGTGTACTCCCTGAAGCTCCTTTCTTTCGATTCCCTATTCCCTAAGGCTGCTTGTGCGTGGCAGCAGGCCCTCCTCCTGTGGTGTACTTGAGTACTTGTGGCACTGTGCAAACGTGAGCATACATACATACTTGGATAACTGGATGCCATATGCACTCTCACTTAACCCGAGTCCTTTGACACGACCTTTCGTTCCTATAAGAATTTCTTGTTGGGGTTAGGTTCTTATCCCCGTTCCTGCAGAGAACTTTCTTCATCCCTATCCCCACAAATATCATTGAGGATCTTCTCTATCCTCGTCCTCGCCGAGAAATTAATCCCGCAGGGATTTCAGTCTCCGCGTAAATTTCTCACATAGTTAGCAATAGACCAACAAGTGATAGATCAACAAGGATGTGAACTCATCAAAAGATATCAAATCATCAATTAATCCTCATATATCTAATACACTACATATATATGAAAATAATAATTGGTACAAAAATATCATTTTATTATATAAATAATATAAACATCACCAAATTATGTAGTCCCAGGAGTAAGGGCGCTCGAGGGCAGGTATATATGCACTGTCAACTCAATGGGGACTATTTTGTCCCCATTTCAATCTTTGCAGAGACTAAATGAGTCTCGATCCCATCCACTGATAGGCTTAATTTGGAAGTGAGGGAACAAAACCTAGGGATAAAAAACACACTATAGAAAACTAAGGTGTTAACTAAAATATTATCCCCTTGGATAGTTGGATTACTCATCCAGGGAAAAGCTAGTCAAGGATCATGAAGGGATTGGAGTTTCCAAATTAGGGTAATTACCCACGGGGAATTAAGGCCCCTCCGCCATCTCTAAACATGATGATGAGTACAAGCTAAGCAAGCATGCATGGCGCCGCCGTGGCCATCCATATCTATCTCCATGCCCGGCCTTCTTATGTGCCTCCGTGGACATATATATCCAGGCATTGCATTCTCTGGTTGTTAGCTGGCTACAGAGCCATTCACCAATACATGCATGGGCCGCGCGGTGGCATGCCGTGCTTGCTCGATCGCTTCTGATCGATTAAAAACGGAGCCGTTACGTTCGCAAATGAGTGCACACCAGAATGCTTATAAGCAACATGCTTTCTTGTCCGGCTTTCTGGATCCGTTATACGTCGCCGGCGTGCCAGCAACCTCGCCCGTTAATAACGTTTACGTTATTACCGGCCTTTGGTTTTCAGTGTGTTTCTCCGGACGCAAATAAAAAGCGGCCGGGCAGACGACGAAACGCGGAAGAAGAAAAGAGAGAGAGATAAGGGCTGTGACGCTGGCGACCGGGGTTACGTAGCACGCATGCAGCTGGTCGCACGTCAAAGATGCCACTGCACGCCGGTGACACGGCGCCGTTCCCTTGCGGAGCACGTACTTTGGCTCCCCGCAAGGTTCCGCCCACGTCCGCGCGCGCTGAGCTTTGGGCTTCGCCCACTGCGTCAGATTCTCACACTATAAATGAGGGTATTTTTACTGTAGGGACAGCTGGGGTTGGAGGCGTCCATACAGTGGGCGTCCTCGGGTCCCAGCAGCCCAGTCGCCCCTACAGATGGTACTGTAGGGGCGGCTGGTAACCTGAGCCGCCCCTACAGTTGGGGCTGATTTGTAGGAGCGGCTCAATCATCAGCCGCCCCTGCAGTGCCCATTTGTCTTTTTTCAAATTTCAAAATTTGAAAGGTTCAAATTTAGTCAAATGGTAAGATAACCAAAATAAAAGTTATAGATCTTGATGAGTTGAACAACTTTTGTATTCATTACTTTTACATCTGAAATCATTTAGGGTTTTAAAATTTGGTTTGAACTTGTCAAATTTCAAATTTCAAATTTTAAAATGTGTAAAACATTGTCACATCCAAGTTTGATCAAACTTAAATGCTGAAGCATGATTTTAGAATTTTTTTAAAAAAACCATCACATTTAGAGTTAGTATGAGGGAGAACAACTAGTTATAAAGTTTATCCACAGATTAAAAAGAAAAATCACACTGTTCTAGATGATCCTTATATTACATGATCATAGTAAACAGTGTGATTTCTTTTTTTTAATCTGTGGGTCAACTTTATAACTAGTTTTTCTTCCTCATGCTAACTCCAAATCTGATGATTTTTTCCTAAAATTTTCTAAAATCATTCTCTATCAATTTATTTTGTTGGTTTTGTCAATATATACATATGAAAAGTTTGAGCAATTTAAATTTTGAATTTAAAAAAAATGCAACTTCAGACAAAATTTTGGTACCCCAAATGATTTCAGCTGAAAAAGTGATAAATACCAAAGTTGAATAACTCATCAGGATCTACAACTTTTGTATGGGTCATTTCTTCATATGACAAAGTGGTAATGACATTGTTCACAAATATGACACATCTCTCATAAGGTTTTATAAACTATACGAGATATGTGTAAGATTAGTGAACAATGTGTGTTGAGAATTTGTCAAATAAAGAAATGACCAAAATAAAAGTTGTAGATATTCATGAGTTGAACAACTTTGGTATTCATCACTTTTTTATGTTGAAATCAATTTGGGTCTCAAATTTTGGTTCGAACTTGTCGTTTTTCAAAATTTTAAATTTGAAAGGTTCAAATTTTGTCAAATGACAAGATAACTAAAATAAAAGTTGTAGATATTAATGAGTTCAACAACTTTGGTATTCATCACTTTTTATGTTGAAATCATTTTGGGTCTCAAATTTTGGTTTGAACTTGTCATTTTTTAAAATTTCAAATTTGAAAGGTTCAAATTTTGTCAAATGACAAGATGACCAAAATAAAAGTTATAGATCTTCATGACCTCTACAACTTTGATGTTTATCAAATTTTCATTTGAGATCATTTGGTGTCTCAAAATTATTTTAGTAGTTTTGACCAAAATAAAATTATTTTAGATGTTTATCAAATTATTTCGACCGTTCGATCTTGCGTTTCACGGCTCAGATCCCTTTCCACCTGAAGCCCATCTGCTTATGCAGGCAAGCCTAGCTCGCTCGGCCCACTTCTCCAACCATCCTCCGCCCACCGTTCCAAAACCCTAGCCCATTTGACGGTCACGAGGCTCCCATCGCGCGAATATAAGTGCACCTCCCACCCAAACCCCGGCTTTCTCCGCGCACTCCATCTCCCTCCCCGCTGCCGCCACCGCCGCACGCATCCACATCCGCCATGGGTGAGCTCCTCCTCCTCCGTCCCGCAAATGTTCTCTGGTCTCTCCGTGCAGGCGAACCTTTCCGCGTCGTCTCTCTCTCTCTCTGACGGCCTGTTCGTTGCGCAAGGGCGTACAAGTACCTGTCGGAGCTATGGGGGAGGAAGCAGTCGGACGTGATGCACTTCGTGCAGCGCGTGCGCTGCTGGGAGTACAGGCAGCAGTCGGCCATCGTCCGCCTCACCAGGCCCACCCGCCCCGACAAGGTCCACCGCCTCGGCTACAAGGCCAAGCAGGTAGATCTCCCCGCCTGGCGCTCTGCTCTCTTGCCTGCCGGACGTGATGCGCTTCATATCTCCGTCTGCTGGTTTGTGTTTATAAGATTTTCACGGCTGTGGGTGGACCATTTCTACTGTAGTTTTAGGCGATAGATCGTCGTCAGCTTTCTGTGTGCAAAATGTAGAACTGCTTAGGGGTATCACTCCAACTTATGCTGTTTAGTCATGGAGCCTTTGTTTGGGGATTAAGATGTTTGCATTCGATATTAATGCTTGAATTTAGATTAGGATAAGTTGTGCTAGCTACTAAATTGATTGAGTACAACCGTGTCCGTGTGAGGCGTGGTGGCAGGAAGAGGCCTGTGCCTAAGGGTATTGTCTATGGCAAGCCCAAACACCAGGGTATCACCCAGCTCAAGTTCCAGAGGAACAAGCGGACTGTTGCTGAGGAGAGAGCTGGACGTAAGCTTGGTGGTTTGAGGGTTCTTAACTCCTACTGGGTGAATGAGGTATGTCGGTTTGTAACAAGAAAATTTGTCTACAAATTACTAGCTTATGGGATTCAAATATGTTTTGTGCTAATGGCTTGACATGTCCATCTTTCCAAACACAGGATAGTACCTACAAGTACTTTGAGATCATCCTTGTGGATGTTGCCCATAAAGCCATCAAAACCGACCCAAGGATCAACTGGCTATGCAACCCCGTGCACAAGCACCGTGAGCTTCGTGGCCTCACCTCTGCAGGCAAGAAGTTCCGTGGCCTGCGCGGCAAGGGCCACACCCACCACAAGAACAAGCCCTCCAGGAGAGCCACCTGAAAGCGCAACCAGACCCTCTCCCTCCGCCGCTACCGCTGAGCAGCTTGTCCGGGGCTTTGGATACTGTCACTGTCGAACTTGTCCCAAGCAAAACAAAAACTTTGGCCGTGTTTGGTTGCATGTAGGTGAATGTGTAAGATTTTAATTGTTGCGAATGATGGACTTTTGTGAATTATGACTTGTGATGATGTTCTAAATAATGGTCTTGTGTTTGTGGATGTATATATGTGTATTTGTGGCGGTCAGATTTGAATTTGAATTATATATATATGTGGTCATATTTGAATTTAAATTATTTATTTTTTTTGCTGAAAAATTCATTGTAGGGACGGTTCTTGATTGAACCACCCTTACAAATACACATAGCAGGGGCGACTAGTGATACAGCCGCCCTTATAGAAGTCCACTACAGGGGCGGCTGAAAACACCAGCGGCCCCTACAGAGGGCACTATAGGGGCGGCTGAAAACACCAGCTGCCCCTATAGAGGGCACTGCAGGGGCGGCCAGGAAATCGCCTCCTATAGAGGCACCCTCTGTAGGAACATCCTGGGAAGGACGGCTGGCGCAGCCGCTCCTACAGAGGCTCTAGAGCCGCCTCTATAGTTAACTTCTGTAGTAGTGGCCTGCATGCGCAGCCAGGCTCGATCTGTGTTCGGTTCCCACTCCAGCGCGCGGCTGGCGCTTCCGATCCTAGCACTACACAATAGCACTTCACTGTCCGTTCAAAACACCCCGTCACTATTGGATTTTGAACCGGCACAACCATACCGACAGTGATGAGGGTCAGCTATCACTGTCGGTTCCTACAAATCGATAGTGTTCTTCAACTTCACTGCCGGTTCTTTACACAACCGGCAGAGTTCAGGTTCACCAACACTGTCAGTTCATTAGACCGTCCGGCAGAGTTCAGTTTACCCAACACTGTCGGTTTGTGTTTTAACCGGCAGTGTTGTCATAACGAGCACTGTCGGTTTGTGACAAGAACCGGCAGTGATGGATAAGCTAACGTTGCCGGTTTATGGCTCAAGCCGGCAGTGCCATCTTGGCCATCATTGTCGGTTTTTTGCTAACCGGCAGTGAAGGTTACGACAACACTGTCGGTTTGTTTCTAACCGGCAGTGATCAGGTTTGTTGCTAACCGACAATGAAGGTTACAACAACATTATCGGTTTATTTTTAACTGGCAGTGATGATTACGACAACACTGTCGGTTTGTTGCTAACGGGCAGTGATGGCCTGTTCGCATTTTATTGTTTTATAATTTATTTTAATTTATATTTTTTCGTAGAATCGGGTTTCGATTTATACATGCTACGTAGACGATAGGTTCATCAATATTAAACATTACAGATGTTACGGTTACGGTTCAAATGTTCTTATCAAGATCTCGATCCCTCAAAATAAAAAAGAAATTATTCGATAAGATGAAGCATGCTTCTCGGGCTTCTTACAATAATCTAGCGAGCCGCTCTAGGCCATACTGGTCCTTGAACTTCATAGATTGTGCGATGAAAAATACTCTATCTTTTTCCAATACCTCGGCTAAGATGAATTTTGCCAGCTCCGATTGCAGTGCGACGATCTCCATGTCTAACAACCTTTCGTGGTTATATTTCTTATGCTGTCATTCAAAAAAAATGATATCCAAAGAGAAATTGGTAAATTATTTTGTTGAATTATTAATAGACATAAATTTAATGGAGATTATACACACCAACTTATCTGCTTCTTCCGATTTTCTGCCGATGTAGCGAAGCATTGCCCACATTCATTGTTTCCCGTCGACTGTTTTAGGTACTTCCCCTCTATTTCGACAACCTTGAATGCGATCTGCGTCCCATCGATATGTCTTCTTCGGACACTGTGCAACATTAAAAGGAGAAACATTAGAAAGCGGTATGTGTGACTAGAAAATAATATGTTATTAGGATCACTTACTAATTTAACATTGCCACCAGTGCATCCAGATGATGAAATGGTTTTTTCTTCGAATCCCACACCTCGATCAGGTTTTTAGCAAGATTGACATAAATGAAGACGAAATTGTTGCTGCAATCACAGAATCCTAATCATCGAATAATCTTAACAAAAAAAGAAGCATAAAATTAAAAGCCGAGAACACATACTCGCAGTTGTATGCTAGAAGTATGTGGGTTTTATTCTTCATCTTGAATTTATCGAAAACAACAATCAATCTCTCTTTCAAGTCTTCCACGTCACATCTATAGAGGCCTAAGCATGTCTTCTCATTGACTCACAAGGGGTCTAAGAAGCATATGTTATCCTATTTGCTTTTTAGTATACAAAATTTTACTATACACCTACATAAAATCAAGGAAATTGGTCAAAAGTTAACAATTTGTGTCTCGAGAGAGTAGTTAATTATAATATCGTGCATGTAGGGTACTTACATAGTCCACAGCGTCAACATTTGTGAATCGAGAGAGCGTTTCTAGTATAGTTGGAACAAGCACTCCCACTCGACATCGAACTTCTTTTCTTCAGGATAATAAAAAACATGTGGTGAATGGATAATAACCTCAAAACCAAAGTCCTCCGTCTTTGTTACTAGAACCATGTAATATTCAAGCAACTAGCGCATATATGTTATCAAATTTTTATACTCATCATCGGTAACCAAAAGATTGCCCCTTTCATACTTCATTGTCGGTGTTCCCGTCCCTTGTACATCATTATAGATGTTCGCGGCCTCTTCCATGGTTAATTCGGGGTTGTCTTCGACGTACTTCTGTATCTTCCTTAAATCTTCATTGTGTATTTTATCGGCTCTTATTGTACCGTACTGATTCTGTGTTTGCCTTTCGAATTCGGACTTCAACAAACACGGAGGCAGTGAGGCACAGAGATTGAAGAAACCAACACAATTTTCCTTCGAGATGTGTGCTGTAAATTTTCCTTCCATCAAGTTTGTAACGCTGCCACTGAACGACCTTTTTCTTTTTTGTTGGTCCACTTTGGGAGAATTAGCAACCGAATCCAAAGACCTTTCTGCGACTGCGAGGATGCCTTTGATCTTGTTTTGGGCTGAGGTGGAGGAGGGGGAGGTGGATGACGATGAGAATTCCGTTTTCTCGGGGCTGATGAAGATGGAGGAGGAGGAGGAGGAGTCTTCTCTTTTCTCGGGGCTGATGAAGATGGAGTCGGACGAGGAGGAATAGGAGACCTCTGTCTTCTCGGGGGTGATGGCAAGGGATGAGGAGGGGAGTGATCTCTGTTGAAAGATGGCGAGTGATCATCGTGGGTGGGCGAAGACTCACAGTATTCCTCATCATCAGAGAACAATTGGTGGTCAAGCTTAATGAAGCGCTTACGCTAGGACACTTGAGAGCTCTTGTTATGACCAAGTTTCGTCCTGTCTTTCGCTGTGGGATACTCAATGTGTATCTTGTTATACTTCTTATCAAGTATTCTGTCAATGGTGACGCGAGCGTACCCCTGTGAAATTGGGCGGTCATTAATGGTCCCGTCTCCCGTAGTCCTGGCCTGGCCGAGTGCCACCTTGTCCTTTGTCCATTCCTAATGGATGTACAACTTGACATTGACGGGTTTAGTGATGCCGTCCACCGGATGAGGCACATTCGCATCTTCTTCGTCGAGCGGGGTTGATCCGCAGCTACTGCGACCCCTAAACTGTGGGCTAAAGGCAGTAGGAGTAGGGTTTTATGGTACTCCTAACCCATTGGACAGCAAAATTTGCTGGACTCATGATTCAATAGTCGCCTCAATCCGTGCGTCCATTTTGTCTTCCATCTCTTTTAGTCGCCTCAAATACTATGCCTCCTGATCCGCTCTACCCCTCAAGCGGCTTCGGTAAGTGTTAGATTCTTGGGGGAATGCTAGTTTCCAAGGAACAACACTGGTTCCTCTAGTGCGACCAGGGTGCTCTTTGGTTCCGAGTGCTTGGGTGAGCACGTCTTTCTCCCTATTAGAAGTGTGAGTCCCTTGCTTCACCTCCTCAGTTACCTAGGAGATCCTCTGGATGAGTTCGCTCATGGGTTGATTTGTGGAGCTAAAGCTCCCGTCCTCGGCGTGCCGTACATTCCTCCCCATATAGTATATTACCGATCTAGGCTCTTAGTCAGCGGTCTCAACCTGAACGCCTTTCTCAGCAAGGCGATCCATCTTTTCAAGTTCTACTTCAAATTCTGGCATCTTTTTGGCGTAGCCACAAGAGCCGAGATAATGAGGATTCATCGCTTTCTGCGAGTTCTCCTTATTCTTCCTGCTCGGTTCTAAGTACTCCTCGGATTACCTGTATTCCTTGAAATTCTACCAGAAGTCCTTCTGCTTGCTAAACTATCCACCATAAAAATCTGGCTCTTTATTTTGGAGGACAAAATTCTTGTACAATGTCACCTTGAAATTCTTAAAGCATGTCCCCATGATTTCTTTTGCTTTTTTCTTGACTAACTCCTTGTCATACTCCATTGGGAAAGTGAAATACTCTGGGATCTTGATATCCCATATGTAATCTTTCTCACTTTCGGGAACCCTCCATGGGTCATCATCTTTCTCAATCCACTTCCTGTACCTAATCGGGATGAAGTCCCTTACAAGTAACCTAAGGATAGTCTTGTATTTGGTCAAAGCTATAGGCGGTGAGAGTGGATCCCCGAATTCATCGAACTCAGTGATGTACCAGTGTGCATTCCTACCAACAAGAATCTTTGACATGCCTCGCTTGGATTTGGCCTTCCTGCTACTCGAACCCTCTGCCTCCTCGGCTGGCGGAGGCTCCTGCTAGAGACACCAAGTAAGCTATGACCCTCTCAATTGATTAGCGCGTGTGGGTACATAGTCACATGATACCAAAGTTACCTGACCATCTTGGTCATTGTGACCCAGATCGAGCAGGCCGGACGGGGTCCATGGCTGCTCGTTCTCACTGTCCTGATTGACACCGTCACTGTTTGTTGGATCATGTGGCTCTCCCATCCCAGCGATATTAGCTGCTTCTTGTTGCCGATCTATTCTTCGG